CATATTCTAAATGTGGTCGCACATAAATCGCGTATAGTAATCTAAACATTTCGTCATCTAAATACTGGAAAGACCTACGAATAGACCATAATACCCTATAGCCTTTCGCAGCAAGGTCGTATTAAATTCCGAAAATAACGTAATATCAGTAAATACCTTCAGAAGGCGTTAAACAAATTTTGACATGTAAGTTGATTTCTTTGTAGACAACGTGCGCTCAAAACACGCAAGTGAAGAGATAGATTATTGTGAACAAAACTTTAACAGTTATAAAATCAGTTTTTTTTAATGATGACCAAGGTCAGGCTTCCAATCGAATCACTAATAAATTGTATATTGCCTCGTTCCGGTACTACCTAGGATATTCCTTGTCTAAACATTCTATAACCTCTTGCAAATAGCTCAATTTTAAAAGGACGGTGGTATTTTTCCTCGCCGAGCAAATTCTATTATTTTGATCGTTTATTATGTATCAAGACTACTGTTTACACTCCAATTGAATTCATTTCAGTTAAAGTATTCTTTACGAGTGTCGTTCTTTCTAAAGTAGTTTATCGTCTGTACTTTTGAGTACTTTGTTTTTATTGTATTTGTTAACACTTTTGGTTCTAACAATTTGCAGTGTTCACTTTTTTTAGTCATCAATTTTTTTTGTTTATAGGTATTATTGTATCTAGTTTATTTTCGAAAACCTCTGTTTGGTGGTTGGATAGTGCACAAAAAGCAATTTCCAACATCCAGGTTGTCGATACTCTGTTGAGAGCGGCATACAGTGCGATGAATGCAAAGTACGGTACCACGAGGTTTGCACGAGTCTAATGTCTGCGGCCTTCAAACAGTTTAGTACAAATGGTTGCGTGTGAGCATGACATTGGGTTGATAAAACAGCTGCTAAATCAGCTAAAGCCTCAGGATATTTCCGGAGTCACCTTGCTAAAGGTGTATAGACTAGGCAACAGAATCAAACCAGGCCTCTTAAAGTAGTATTTAAATCTCCCAATGAACGGGACTTAATACTACAGGATGGACATAAACAAAAGGGGTCAGGAGTTTTTGTCCGTAAGGAATTTCTCCTCGCGGACCGTGTAAAAAGACGGGAAGCCGAAAAAAAAACTGAAACTTAGGTTAGACGCCCGCGAAAGAGATTTTTATTTTATTTTATTTTATTTGAACACATAAATATTGGTACACAGGGGCACCAAATATATATGCGCCACACAAAACAATGATAATTTGAAGAGAAGGAGAAAAGAGAAAAAAAAGTAATGAACGTGGGGAGTTATAAAAAAAAAAGGGAGAGAGAGAGAACAATGGTGGGGGAAACGGAAAGGTACAATCAGAAGAGATCTTTCAGTTAAGGAAGATATAAACACTTTTTATGAAGAAAGTAAGAGGTTACAGCACGATCGCCACTGGCTTCTATTCTTAGCCATATCTGATAACGTCTCTAGCCACTGCGTTACACCGTCTCTAGGACCCCAACCAGGGAGTCGTGAAGGACCAACAGAAGCTAGCCCTTTGCAGCTTTCTTTCATACCACGACACCATGTCATATACTGACCACCTCTCCGCTTTTTCCAACCAGTCCCAGAGTCGGTAAATAATGCACGACGTGGAATTCTCTGGGACGACATTCGTAGAACATGTCCAAGCCACCGAAGTCGGTGTTTCAAGATGGTGACACCAATTTCATTATCGTCTCTGTGACCGAACACTCGATGCCGAACCTCTGCATTACTGACATGGTGTTGCCACTGGATGCCAGCAATCCTTCGGAGACAACGATGATCGAACACAGAGAGTAGTCTAACATCCTCAGCTCGGAGAGGCCAGGTTTCACAAGCATAGAGCAAAACTGCTCTCACCGTCGCGTTGTAGATCCGACCTTTTACAGCCAGACTAACATCACGAAGGCGCCAAAGATGGCCCAGATTGGCATAAGCCGCTCTGGCTTTCACTATACGTGCATTGATCTCATCACTCACACCACCACCAGCACTTATGCAGCTACCTAGATACACGAACTTCTCGACTACTTCAATCTGCTCACCATCCAGAGTGAGTACAGGATTAGAATCCTGTCAGTCTTGTAGAAGTACTTTGCACTTCGAAGGTGCAAAGCACATACCATACCTACGGACACTGATTGCCAACTGATTAAGTGCGGATTGCATGGCTTGGGCATTCTCGCACAGTAAGACAATATCATTCGCATACTCAAGGTCGAGAAGTCTTTTTCCAGGCAACAGATCCACACCACCATTACTTACATCCGTCAGAGCTGTTTCCAGAATGTCATCGATGGCAAAGTTGAAGAGGAATGGTGAGATTGGGCAACCCTGCCTAACCCCACTGCTCGAATGGAATAGTGGAGAAAGGTGGTTGTATGCCCTCACTCTGCCTGAGGTGTTTGTGTATAAAGCTTTTAGGATGTTAATAAACTTCTCAGGCACACCCTTCTTCAATAGACAATCCCAGAGAACAGTTCTGTCCAACGAATCGAAGGCAGCCCTGATATCAAGAAACACTACGATTGTTGGCCTTTGATAAGTATGGCGGTGTTCTAACACTTGGCGGAGGGTGAAGATATGATCAATACATCCTCGACCGGAACGAAACCCAGCCTGCTCCTCGCGAGTCAATCGTTCTCGGGTCCTGAACAACCTACGAAGTATGACGGAAGCCAATAGCTTGGACGCAATCGGAAGTAGACTTATACCCCGATAGTTGTTAGAGGAACAACGTGAACCCTTTTTAAAGATAGGGACAACTATCGACTCATTCCATGACGTTGGTACACTCTCTAGTTCCCAGACCTTTGTAAACAACGTCGTCAGTCCCTTAGTCAAAAAGTCATCACCATCTTTAGAAAGAGCCGGAGGTAAGTCGTCTGGGCCCGGTGATTTGTAACGTTTCAAGAGTTGGAGTTCCTTGCGGACTTCCGCCTCATTTGGTGGATCAGTCGTCACCGGCCATGGAGGGCAGGACAGTCTGACCGATGTTGCCGGAGCAGCAGGCCAGTTGAACTGCCCTTCAAAGAATTCTGCCCATCGTCCAAGACGTCGATGGATGTTAGTGATTGGCGTTCCGTCATCCTCGCAGATTGTTTCGCTCACACCAGACTTCTTGCTGCCAGTGGCTCGGATGAGTTGGAAGAGCTTCCGGTAATTTCCAGATGCAGCTGCTGCTTCCAACTCACTGGCACGCTCCGACCACCAGGCTTCTCGGTCCTTACGCAAGCTTTTCCCGATTTCATTACGTAACATCCTTCGTCTGTGGTCAAACTCACGGTCACCCGGAGTAGACCGACGGGCTTCAATCAGTTGTAAGGAACCAGAAGAAACCCAGTGCTTGTAAGCGGGACGTTTCGCAAACCCACAACAGACTGTACCCGCCATTTTCATGGCGTCATGCAATTGCAACCAATGCTCATCTATACTTTTCGGTGGAATGGTAGCTAGCCTAGAAGCTAGCTCGGTTCGGTACTTACTAGCAACAGAAGTTGCAGCCAGCTTGCTAACATCAATCCTTTGGTGGCGGTCACTTCGTTGTCCACTGAAAAGTAAGGTAAGATTGGCGCAGACCAGAGCATGATCAGATTCCAGATAGGTACTCCAAAAGGAGCGGCAGTCTTGTACACAACCGCGCCAGCGGTAGCTGATCGCGATGTGATCAATCTGAGTCCAGGCTTGAGATGCAGAAGGGGGACGCCAGGTGGCACATCGGCGATGACTGTGCCGAAAGTTAGTGCTAGCCAGAAACAGGTTGTGGTCTGTGCATAGTTGCAGTAGACGTTCCCCGTTATCTGTCCTGCGACCAACGAGTCCCCATCGGCCACCTAAACGACCCTCTTCTGTGCCTAGACGCCCGACCTGAGCATTCAAGTCTCCAGCTAGTACCACAATATCTGTCGAACGCGCTTTCTGGAGAAGAACAGTTAGCTGATGGTAGAACTCGTCCTTGATTTCATCCGGGCTGCAATCTGTCGGGGCATAGGCGGAGATGACGAAAAGACATCGTTTCTCACGCCGATTTCTTCTCACTTTGATGGAACTTTCTAATCTAACAGCACATAACCGACTGTTAATGGGGATCCAGTCGACTAGTGCTGCCTCAGCTCTTGCGCTTGGTGCGACACCAACGCCAGCAAGACCAGACGAAGATGCCACAGGGTCCCCGGATAAACGCACATAAAACAAGCTTTTTGAAGTGACAGATGGAGAGCGAACTTGTAGTACTTCACCAGAGTCTTGAATACGGGTCTCGGATAGACAACACACATCAATATTAAGACTTTCCAAAGACATAGCCAGTCCTATCTGTTGTCCGACCTGCATAAGTGTGCGAACGTTGAGGGTAGCCAGTTTGAATGGCGCACGCGGTTTCAGAAAAACTGCTTCAGTACTCATATTCGGTAGTAACATACAATTTTCAACCAGGCAGTGACTCGGGAACGTTTAGATAAAGCTGAATTTTCACCATAGGTGAGCTGCTGTCTAGGTCGAAACGCATATATAAAGTAGGAATAAGAGAGTGTGAATAAATGACGTGGTAGAGTAATAATAATAATAATAATAATAATAACAATAATAATAATAGTACGAGTTATTTCAGTGTTAATCAGATAGAAAGGAATGTTTTCCATAAGCAAATTGTTCATCATAGTTTTAGTGAGTGGGCTGGGATACTGCCCGGGTGCCCAGACCGAAGCAGGTGGTTTTCTTAGGGGGCCACACCCCGAGCCTTTGACCTAAAGGTCTAGTCCACAAGGCAGTGGAGCATCGTGAGGAGATGCAGTCCCATGGAAGCCGGTGACCAAAAGTTGGTTCATACGCCATTTGTTCCCGCAAGATACTGGGGCCCATGTGCACCATAGAATTGGGATCCGGTTATAGCGCCGGACATTCGCTTTTCGTCCTCTCATTTTCGTAAACAACACCCCCGCCACGTGAAGGCAGTGAGTAGGACTTCCCTGGCAGAGGCTGTATACGCGTGGCCGTGTGAGAGTAATTCGAGAGGGAGGGCGAACCCTCCCCGCTCTCGGCCATACCAGGGCATTTGGGGGCCCGCGAAAGAGACCTCAGAATTGTAAGTTTTCGGGCTGAGGTCTCTAAAGAGAATAATGCCGGAGCCACCATTAGTGCAGCATGAAGCCATTTAAATAGGCTTCGGATGTTACACACATAAGTCAAAAGTCCTAGTGGCGGTTGACCTGATCAGTGCAATACATCGGGATCATAATCTATCAATGCAGTTGGTGTAGTAAAGTGAGAACTACGTTGGAAACCAGTTTCTGTGCAATTGGACTATCTCACTCTGAATGATCTGCTTTCAGTTAATGGTTCTGCCGGTCTTTATAATATTAAACAGAAAACTTTAGTCACTTGAAATTACTGGTTGGTGTATGTACCGGTTTTACGTTGTGATTGACTAATTGATTAATTTCACTTTATTGTAGGACTGTTATAATAGAAATGGATCTTTCGGTTCAGAACAAAGTGATCAAGCATTTAGAAGAAATAGAAGAAGCTGGTGAAATGGTATTAGCTAAGCAACAAGAACGCATAGTTTACGACAGGAATCGGCAAAAATCACGTGAAGCTGTTCGAAAGCTAATGCAATTGGATTCAGAAAATAAACAATGGGCGTGCTTATCTGACCAGTTCTTTCTGTTCCCATCTGTTGGATTAAGGAAAGCAATTGAGGAGGATATTAAAGTTTACGATTCTGAAATTCAGAAGTTAAATCACCAATTAAAGGAAGACATTAATTGGTTACATGAACTTGAAGGTAAAGAACCCCTCAAAGGATTTGACTTGTTGCCATTAAAAAATTGAAAACCGTAATACTTAACATGTGTACAAATCAAAATAAAAGCGTGTATCTTTCTGCTTCACTTTTCTGCATTTTCTTTGAGTGGTAAACGATTCTTTGCTAACCTATGGTTCACTCAATTTCAGATGACTAATCTACTAACTTCTGGTCATAGACGTTATAACCCACTATTAGATGAATGGATTATTGTTTCTCCACATCGAATTCAACGTCCTTGGGAAGGACAAATGGAATCTGATAGTCACAAACCCACAGAAGTAAATGACGTTTCTGTAAAATGTGCCAAAAATCCATTATTACCCGGGTCCGTTCGTGCAAGTGGCTTAATCACACCTAATTATCAATCTGTCTACACATTTCACAATGACTTTCCTGCTTTGGTAAGTGTTTCATCTCTATCGGACATTGACAGACTTATTTAGAAATGCTAAGGGTAAATGTTTAATTAGTCACCAAGTATAGATTTTCTCATACTAAAAAACCCTTTGATACTGATCCTACAAACAATTAAGTGCTTTTATAAGGCATACTAGTAGTGCTTCCTACCACAAAGAAACACTGATTAATCTTAAGAATGGTAACGTTAATAAATGGGCTTATCAAATCTACGTGGAAATGGTACTATAATGCATCGTTTCCAGTTGCCTAACTACAAGACCGAGCAGCCAAACTGACGCAACGTTGATGACAATAACAATCCTAACATAGAGAAGCTGTTACGAAAGCAAGTAAAATAAGACATATTGGAAGTGTTATGGATAACACTCCAACTTTCAACTAATGTCTTAATAAGAAAGTGAACCGAAGTATGTTTCCATGGTGGCGACCAAACAGCATTGAATATAATTTATATTTTGGCTGAGATTTCATCCGTCTTGGTTGTCATGCGTGCATCCTGTACGTATCTCCCCGATATAGTCATTATGACATAAGTTTATATAAAATTAATGAAATGTGGTTAGTAGTGGAATCCAGGACTTGCGTTTCGTTCTAATTTGGACTCATCAGCTGAATGCACCTACATCCGAATATTGATACCCACGCCGGGACTCGAACCCAGTGCTTGCTACATTCCATCTTCATATAAAATCGTGGCATAATGCTGTGTAGTGAGTCTGCACAGGATACGCATATGCAGATTTAGACTGATCGAATTTCAATGAAAACATAAACAGCAGGTTAATTCAAACCATATTAGATTCAATTAAGAAGGATGAAATGTACTTTTTGTGTTCTATTTCTGTGCGGTATTTGAATATGACCAAAAGGCAAGATTATGTCATTTATACAGTATATTTGGCATCCCCACGAGGGTTATTATCAGTTTTTAATTTCATCATCTTAACTTTAAATCTGGCTACATGAATTTTAAAAAGCTTGTTTGGAATTTAGTGATCCAATAAACACTACATTTCAATCCCGAATATTTTCAAGCAGATACACGTGGTTCATGTCCAATCTTTTCGAAGAACTGATTATGAAACTAGGTCCATTCTTTGAGTTTCCGAAACGCACTATTTTATTGCTTTAATACATTTTATTGGAGGATCCACTTAAGGGTGTTGGAAACCCCTGATTCCAAATCAGTGGTGCACATGGGCTCCAGTATTCCGAGGGAACAAATGGTATATGAACCGATTCTTGGTCACTGGCTAACATGGAACTGCGTCTCCTAACGTTGCTCTACTGCCTTGTGGATTAGACTCTTAGGTCGAAGGCTCCAGGTGTGTCCCTCTGAGAAAACCACCTGCTTCGGTCAGGGCACCTGGGTAGTATCACAAGGTCTGAGGGCGAAGTCGTACTGCTGACCGTACAGAGGTGTGACATCAGTAAGGTGTTTCCCTCGGACAACCAGCATCTGCAGCGATGCTGCCTTCTCACAAGGAAGGAAGGGGTTAGAAAGCCCCCAAATGCCCTGGTACGGCCGAGAGTGGGGAGAGTCCGTCCTCCCTCTCGAAATGCTCTCACATGGCCACGCGTACATAGCCCCTGCCAGGGAAGTCCTACTCACTGCCTTCACGTGGCGGGGGTGTTGTTTACGAAAATGAGAGGACGAAAAGCGAATGTCCGGCGCTTTAACCGGATCCCAAACCAATGGTGCATATGGGCTCCAGTATCCTGAAGGAACAAATGGCGTATGAACCAATCGTTGGACACCGGCTACCATGGGACTGCATCTCCTCACGATGCTCCACTGCCTTGTGGGTCAGACGTTCAGGTCAAAGGCTCGGGGTGTGGCCCCCTAAGAAAACCACCTGCTTCGGTTTGGGCACCTGGGCAGTATCACAGCCCTCACACAAATCAATTTCGATTTGTGTGGCGCATATGTATTTGGTGCCTCCTTGTACCAATACCTATGTGTTAAAATAAAATAATAAAATAAAGGGGTTAGAAAAGGTTGACCCTAAAAATGTCACACCTCACCTTACCCCACGGATTTCCGTCTCCGGCGGTAAGGTCCCTTGAAGAATGGAGCTAACACATTAAAAACCTCCCACAAAAAGGCCGTGCGCGACCGGCCTCAAGCAGTTGTCCCTTGGGCTCTGCGGTCACGCTCCCAGGTCTTCAAGACCAACATTAATCCGATTTCCTTTTCAGATTCCTCAAGAAATACCCTTCCACAGTGTAGGTAGCCGGGAAGTGACATCAGTCCTCATACCCGTAACAGCACACGAGACCAAGTTGGTCACATTCAAATCCTTCCTACACCTCCTAATAACTCTGTTTTATTTATCTGTTCTCATATTTCCCTCTTTATATCCATAGTTTGGTAGTAGTTTTTGATTTTACTTCATAATCAACCATGTGTGGTGTTTAGCTTTTATAATAACTCAAAAAATATTAGGTTTATTTGATCTATTTTGAGCCACACCTTTTTGAATATCGGCTAGTAGTAATACTAGTCACCTATAAGAGCACACGAGACCAAGTTGGCCACATTCAAATCCTTCCTGCACCTCTTAATAACTCTCTTATCTCCACGACTAACACTTCTCACGTCTTTTTATCACCTCGCACCTCTAGGGCGAACGATTCCAGTACGCGGAACGTTATTCCTGGTCTCCTGAAACCACGCTCTAAATTACACGTAGGATCTTTCAACGTCCGAACACTGTTCCAAATAGGACAATAGGCTTGCTTAGCTAAGACTCTAAAATCTCGCTCCATCAATGTGTGCTGCGTCTCCGAAACGCGCACATAGGATCCAAGTAGTGTCATTCATTTGGCCGCACCATGTCAAAGTAACAAACCAACTCGATTTACGCTTCGTGTATCTGGAAGCCCTGATGCTGCTTCCCGTGGCCTCGCTGGCGTAGGTATAGCATTGAGTCCTAGGGCAGAACTAGCTCTCTTAGACTGGATCCCAGTAGACAGTCGTTTGTGCACTGTCCGACTAAACGGAACAGTAAGGACTCGAAAAGATAGGGACACTCGTCGTTGCCTCTTCGTCGTCTCTGCCTATTCTCCCACTGACTGTAGCTCAGATGATGTAAAAGATGAGTTTTACAGAAAGCTTTCCGACCTTCTCCGAGAAGCTAGGCGTTCAGATGTAGTAATAGTGGCTGATAACTTTAATGCTCAAGTTGGTAAACTAAACGAAAGGGAAAGACACCTGGGTGGATCTTATGGTGTCGCGGCTCGAAGAACAGATAACGACGACCGTCTGTTGCAGCTATGCTCAGATAACCGCCTGTTTCTTGCGAACACTAACTTTAAGCATAGGGAAAAACACATTTTGACATGGAGACCCCCTAATTCGTCCCAACGTTGGACCCAAATAGATCACATCGTTATCAGCCACCGATGGAGGGGCTCGATAGAAGACTGTCGCTCATTCTGGAGCACATGCTTAGACTCAGATCATGCTCTAGTGCGAGCGCGCATTTGTCTACGTCTTACTGGAAGTAGGAAAGATGGTGCAAGGAAACCCCTTAGGGTCGTACTTAATGATAGTCAAGCTAAGAGTATATTTCAGGAACAACTAGAAAAACAGTTAGGCAGCCATGTAAGTGATGCCGACCGTGAGGCAGCGTGGAATGACATCCGAAAAGCTGTAGAAACAGCAGTGATGTCTGCAAGTACGGTAAACCATAAGATTAGCGAGAAACACTGGATCTCAGCAGCGTCTACCGCACTGATAGATGCTCGGAAACTCATCCCATCTGGCTCTGAACATAACGAAGAGCGCAGTCAGCTTAAGCGTAAGCTGACTAGAAGCCTACGTAATGATCGTGAACAGTGGTGGGTAGCGAAAGCAAGAAAGATGGAAAAGGCAGCGGCAATAGGTGACAGCAGGCAACTGTTGAAACTTGTTAAGGAAACCGGTATTAGGAACCCAACTGTTAGCGAAACAATCGCAGAGAAAGATGGACATATTATTCATTCTCAATCCAGGAGATTGGATCGATGGGCAGAACACTTTAGGGATCGGTTCAACTGGCCTCCAGCCACACTTCGGTTTCCCACGATCTCCAATCTACCTGAAAGGCAAGTTAATGTAGGGTGCTTCAGGATTGGGTTGCATCGACACCCGAACTAATGATAGGGAGTGAAGTAGTTGAGCGTGTCGACCGCTTCACTTATCTTGGAAGTTTCATCAGCCCTTGTGGTCTAATGTGTGACGAAATCTCATCACAGATACAGAAGGCTCGACTAGCTTTTGTCAACTTGCGTCATTTGTGGCGTAGGCGAGATATCCGTCCTACTTTATGGCAGTGAAACATGGCCGGTAAGAGTAGAGGATATTCGTAGGTTACTAGTATTCGACCATAGATGTCTTCGAAACATTGCTCGTATATCCTGGGATCATCGAGTAAGTAACGCAGTTGCTAGGAAACGGGCACTAGGTAAGGATGGCAAATCAATTGATGAAGTAGTGAAACTTAATCAGTTGAGATGGCTGGGACATGTGTTGCGCATGCCCGACCACCGACTGCCCCGACGTGTGATGCTTTCTGGTGTAGGAGTAGGTTTGAAGAAAGCTAGGGGCGGTCAGACCAAAATATGGCACAAATCCATGAAGTCACTGACAAGTGAACTGAGCCATGTTGGTAGGTGTAGACTACCTGATTGGGGACCGTGAGACGATAGCAACCGATGGTTAGAGATCTTGAATGACATGGCTCAAAATCGTTTGCAATGGCGCAGGTGCATCCACTCTCTGTGTTCTCCCAAATTCTAGTCTCCTGAATTCTTCATGTCCTTTTATTTTCTTTCCAAATTTATTCCATTGGATTATACTCCTTGAATAACATCTTCAAATCCTAATGTTTTCGATTACTGCTTATACTCTTTCTACCTCTACCACTATGTGATTTGAATCGACAATTAATATCTGTGCTAATGTGGTATGGCAACTCGAACTGATGTACGTACGTAAGAAGCTCTACTTTGTTACTGACTGACTGTATGTGCTACGCTATTGGCACATTGTTCTATGCAATTGATTAGCAGTCATTGAATCACAGGTTTAGACATCTCTTCACTCACTTAATAACTGGTTAGTGCCTCAAAGCTTTAAACAATCAGCGTAGCTTCAAGTCCACTACATAACCTTGTTGTTGGTTACTCGTTTGCATTAAATTCAATTAGTCCTTTAACCAATCTTACCACTGTTATTCTCTCTTGATTGTGAATTAATTTTGTTCAGGTTAATGTAAATCGCGAATGTGAAAGTGTTAGTTTAACGACCTTCACATCTGTTGAAGAAAATCCATTATTTGCATGTGCGCCTGCGCAAGGTGACTGTTTAGTTACTTGTTTTCATCCAGATTCTAATAAAACCTTAGCGCTGATGGAACAGAGTGAAATACTATCAGTTATTACTGAGTGGTGCCGTATTACTGAGAAATATTTTAAAATGAAAAAATTTCAATGGCTGCAGATTTTTGAGAATCGAGGCGCAGCTGTTGGTTCGTCTAACACGCATCCACATTGCCAGGTAAATTATGACACCGAAATGCTTTCTTACTTAAACATTATCTTGCTCTGCTATGTTTTTCTTTCGCCTCTGACATTTACTTAAAGCTAATTAAATCATTCTTAATACAGGTAATCTCATCTGTAACCCCCCAGAAAATCTTTATCACAGACTCACTTTGTCCAAGTGAACTGATTTACCAAATTCCACTTTCCGTCCATCTATTTAACCACCCTACCTTGTGAGTGGTCTTCATTTAATACCGATTCTAATTACCGTTCCTGATATTCGTGCTTTTTGTCATAATGTAATGGCAAGACTATAACCTAGAAAACGTTTTTGTCTAGAAACCAAATACTTAGTTTTTCTCTTTTGTTCTATTCAGTAATTAGACTATACTGCCAACCAGAAACATACTCATCTACACAAAAAGTACTACATTTCTTTATTTGTTTTGATTATTTATAAAAACGAGTAATTTCTGTTGTTTGTCCTTATTGTACACTTGTAATCAACATTTTTGTAGTTCATCTGTGGCATAGGTATTTATATAAACAACATATGTGTTTCTTATATTAATAACAATGACTGTAACAGACCTGTGTAATTTGCTTAGCTAAGATCTTAAATTAGTTTACTTATGTAATGTATAAGTTAAAAGACTAATCGAAATCCCGATTTGTAATCTAGAAATATTGGCATTTTATGATGACAATCTGTTGCTCATATTTTTTTAGTATTTATATGATGTTATTCATGGTCATATATTACTATCCAGTCAGTCCGTTTCGTAAGACGCGGCAGTTGTATTAACAAATACAGATTTTAATAGTTGAGATCGTGAGTCAGTTGACGCTGGAACATCATGGAAATCTGGATGCATTAAATGGCTGTTTCGTCCTATTTCGGGACTCTTCAGCAGTGCGCACTCGTGATGATTGGGACCTAGGACCTATCGGTCTCGCGCGCGAATGCTTAACATCTAGATCATTGAGCTGGCATCCAACGGCGTCAATGTCTAACTTCAACTAATCCACGAAATTTAGCGACCTGTCTATCATTGTCTTCAATGAGTTACTATCTCACAACAGACCCGGTTGAACTCCTGGTCACTGCTTCTCACTAGAACTCCATGAAATACTTCTTGAAGCCAGTCACCAGTAGGCATATGCTGATTAATATCAGAAGGGGTTTTCGTGGATATTATAGTAATTTTAATAGTTTAGATCATGAGTCAATTGAAGCTAGACCACCATGGAAAACCTGGAATCACTGGACTACCGTTTCTTTCTGTTGTGGGACTCCTCAGCAGTGCGCATTCACGATCCTGCCTCGCGAGATTAGAACCCTGGATCTATCGGTCTAACTTCATGATCTAAACTATTAAAATTACTATAATATCCACAAAAACCCCTTCAAATACAGATTTGTTTATTTACCTATTACCGCTATATATTGAGTGATACCAGGTGATTATAAATGGCTGCGAAAAACTGTAGTTTGACTAAAGTTTGAACTCCTGACTGTGGTCTATCAGGAGGTTCCTGTTTGTTTTATTTGTCTTTTAAATTATCACCAATCAGTTCCAACGGCACTAAGTTTTCCAGCTGTTGTCACTGTGCATTTCCTGTTATGTATCATCTTAGAAATTAAATCAAGTATGAAACGTAGACATAGGTTAATTTTATTAGCTATCACCTTTTTATTGTTGCATGTGACTAATTTTAACATGATGATCCTTTTTCTTCCTCGAAAAAGCCTTATTGTCTAAAAAAGCTACTAAGAGTCAAATACTGCAAAAGATAGATCCAGTTTCATCAAAAATGATCTAGTAGAGGTCCAAATTAATATTTTGTTTGTTTTCAACTTTAAGTGTGAAATTTGTTTCTGGGTGACAGTTATTATATGTCTTTAGAAAATGACTCAAATAATATTTGTTGTCGCAAATGATAAAGATATCATCTACGTACCTTTTATGCAAGTGGAACTTTTCTATAGTTGTTTTAAGTTGATTGTTTTCTAGATTGGCCATGAAGTAATCTGCTAGCAATGGATGAAGAGGGGATCCCATTGTTATGCCATCCTTTTTTTCTATGAATCACGTTGTTGAATGTAAACTGTACATTGCAAGTGAAACGTAGTAGTAGTTCCTTCAAATAAACGGTGTTCTGATTTTAATTTCATTATTATTTACATAATTGCAGATAAAACTGATAGTCTCTGTGAGTGGCACATTAATGAATAGTGATTCGACATGCAGAGATAGCATAATTTTGTCATTTACATTCACTTCTTTTATGTGTTCAATAAATTCGAAAGTATCACATGTGGAGTGTCTACAAATGCGTTTTCTCACGGGTTCTAGGAGATCCGCCAGCCACTCTGCTATTGAGTGGTAAGGGGATCCGGACATATCCAGAATTGGTCTGAGAGGTAGACCAGGTTTGTGTAATTTAGGCAGACCATATAATCGCGGTATTATTGATCCTGTTGTTTTTATCTGCCAAAAAGTATCATTTTTCATTCTCTTAAGAACTTCAATCAGTTGCTTTTCTATTATTTCAGTCTTGTTTTTGTCATTGATTGGTTTGGAGAATTTGATGTCATCTTATAGTAGCTGGTCCCACATTTTACGTGACAGATGTTCTGTGGATACATTTGCAAACAACACGTCAGAGTTAACTTCTTAAAGTTCAAAATGGACATAAAACACGTCGAAACTACAATGTATCTAACACAGTTTTTAGTCTGACAGAAGTTACAGAAGTGTTGTACATCATGTCAAACTAAGTATTGCAAGTATCCTAGGATAGAAGTGTCAGCATTAAATGGATTTACTTCTATACGCACTAGTCTAAAGTATTGGTCCTTAAATTCTAGTCTCTTCTACTTACTTACTTACTTACGCCTGTTACTCCCAACGGAGCATAGGCTGCCGACCAGCATTCTCCAACCCACTCTGTCCTGGGCTTTCCTTTCTAGTTCTATCCAATTCTTGTTCATTTTTCTCATATCTGTCTCCATTTCTCGACGTAATGTGTTTTTTGGTCTTCCTCTTTTCCTTTGGTCTTGGAGATTCCATGCGAAGTCTTGCGTAGTGACGCAGTTGGATGCTTTCCTCAATGTGTGTCCTATCCACTTCCGGCGCTTCTTTTTGATTTCTTCCTCCGCTGGGATCTGGTTTGTTCTATCCCACAGTAGGTTGTTGCTGATAGTGTCTGGCCAACGGATCCGAAGTATTTTGCGTAGACAGCTATTAATAAACACTTGTATCTTCTGGATGATGGTTCTCCAAGTTTCCACCCCATACAGTAGTACTGTCTTGACATTTTGTATTGAAAATCCTGAATTTTATTTTGGTTGCCAATTGTTTTGAGTTTCAGATGTTCTTCAGTTGTAAATATGCTGCTCGTGCTTTTCCGATCCGCGCTTTCACATTTGCATCAGATCCACCGTGTTCATCAATGATGCTACCCAGATAAATAAGGGTTTTTACATCCTCCAAAGCTTCTCCGTCAAGTGTAATTCGATTGTTGCATGCTGTGTTGTATCGGAGAATCTTGCTTTTCCCTTTGTGTACGTTGAGACCTACTTCTGCTGAAGTTGCTGCTACACTGGTCGTCTTCTGCATTTGCTGTTGGTGTCTTCGAAACATTGCTCGTATATCCTGGGACCATCGAGTAAGTAACGCAGTTGCTAGGAAACGGGCACTAGGTAAGGATGGCAAATCAATTGATGAAGTAGTGAAACTTAATCAGTTGAGATGGCTGGGACATGTGTTGCGCATGCCCGACCACCGACTGCCCCGACGTGTGATGCTTTCTGGTGTAGGAGTAGGTTTGAAGAAAGCTAGGGGCGGTCAGACCAAAACATGGCACAAATCCATGAAGTCACTGACAAGTGAACTGAGCCATGTTGGTAGGTGTAGACTACCTGATTGGGGACCGTGAGACGATAGCAACCGATGGTTAGAGATCTTGAATGACATGGCTCAAAATCGTTTGCAATGGCGCAGGTGCATCCACTCTCTGTGTTCTCCCAAATTCTAGTCTCCTGAATTCTTCATGTCCTTTTATTTTCTTTCCAAATTTATTCCATTGGATTATACTCCTTGAATAACATCTTCAAATCCTAATGTTTTCGATTACTGCTTATACTCTTTCTACCTCTACCACTATGTGATTTGAATCGACAATTAATATCTGTGCTAATGTGGTATGGCAACTCGAACTGATGTACGTACGTAAGAAGCTCTACTTTGTTACTGACTGACTGATTGCATTTGCTGTTGTGTGTTCGATAGAAGAGCCAGATCATCTGCGAAATCTAGATCATCCAGCTGCATCCTAAATGTTGACTGTATCCCATGCTTCACCCCAGATGTTGTCATCCCCATTAACCAGTCGATCACCAGGAGAAAAAGAAGGCGTGAGAGTAAGCAACCTTGCCTGACACCGGCATTTACCTCGAAGCAGTCTATCAATTGTCCTCCGTGCACGATTTTGCAGTTTAATCCATCATAGAAATTCCGTATGATATTGACTGTCTTCTCAGGTACGATATAGTGTCGAACAAGCTTCCATACTATTGTCCTGTCCACGCTGTCAAATGCTTTCTCGCAGTCAATGAATTTGATATAGAGTGATGAATTCCACTTAATTGACAGTTCCACAATGATCTGTGGGGTTGCGATTTGGTTTGTACACGATCGATCGTTATGGAATCCAGCCTGTTGATCTTGAAGATGGGCGTCAACAGAGTCCTTCATTCTGTTTAATAATACCCTGTTGAAGACTTTTACTGGTATTTAAGAAGAGTGATGCCTCTGTAGTTATCATACTTGCTGGAATAGCCTTTCTTTGGTATTTTGATCAGGTGTCCTTTTTTCCAGTCTGTTTGTACTTGTCTTCATCCCAAATCTTACTGAAGAGGATGTGAAGTATCCTCGCAGTTACTGCTACATCTGCTTTCAGTGCCTGTGCTGAAATGTTGTCTGGTCCTGCTACTTTGCCGCTCTTGATTTGTCTGATGGACATGCTGATCTCCTCAATTCTTGGTGGGTCAACATCGATTGGGAGTTCCGTGGATGCTGCTTCAATATTGGGTGTGATCAGTGGGACTGGTCGATTCAAGAGTTCTTTGAAGTGTTATACCCATCTGTTTTGTTGTTCTTTATTGTTGGTGATTACTTTGCCTTCCGTGCTTTTCGCTGGTCGTTCTGGTTTACGATAACTTCCAACGAGTTTCTTTGTTGTGTCATACAATTGTCTCATGTTTCCTTCTCTTGCAGCCTTTTCCGCCGTCATTGCTAGATTTTCCACATATTTACATCTGTCGGTTCTGATGCTCCTCTCCACTTGCTTGTGTACTTCTGTGTATTCAGCTTGTGCCTTGGCTTTCTCTGCTCTTGTTCGGCTGGTATCGATTGCTGTCTTGTTTATCCTTTCTTGAATCATATCCAGTGTATCAAGAGTGATCCATTTTTTGTGATGGTACTTCTTTTGGCCCAGAACCTCATGACATGTTGAAGTGATTGCCTCCTTTATCCCTTCCCAGTTGCTCTCCATAGTAGTTCCTTCTCCATTGAGTGGATTGTAAAAGGCCTGGAATTTATTGCTGAGGGCTATCTTGAATTCGTTGAGTTTGTGACTATCCTGAAGAAAGGCCGTATTAAGCTTTTGTGATGTTGTCCGCCCCGTTGTTCAGGGCTTCTTGAGTTTCAATTTAATCTTGGTGACCAGCAAGTGATGATCTGAAGCTATATCAGCTCCTCTCTTGCTTCCCACATCCTCCATTGTACTCCTGAACTTTTTGTTGACGCAGATATGGTCGGTTTGGTTCTGTGTAGTGTGATCCGGTGAAGTCCATGTGGCTTTGTGTATGCGTTTATGTGAGAATATAGTGCCGCCTATGACCAGTTTATTGAAGGCAAATAGGTTTGCAAATCTCTCACCATTTTCGTTTCGTTCTTCTAGTCCATGTCGTCCCATGATGTCATTATATCCGGTGTTGTCGATTCCAACCTTAACATTTAGGTCTCCTATCAGAATGGTCAAGTCCATTGTTGGGCACTTCTCGACTATTGACTGCAGCCTATCGTAGAATTGGTCTTTAACGTCTTCATTGTAGCCGTTGGTAGGCGCATAGCATTAGATGACGTTCATTGAAATGTCCTCTTTGTTTGTTTTGAAGGAGGCTTTGATAACCCTTGGTCCATGAGATCCCCATCCTGTAAGTGCATTTTGTGCTTGTTTGGATAGCATCAATCAAACTGCTTGTGTATAGCTCTTCTAAATGAAGACCTTCTGACCCCCAGGGCAGAGTTTAAATGGTTTGAATAACTTTTCCTGTCAGCGTTTCTTAGCGAGTTGGTTTTCTTCAACATGGGGTCGCTAACCCTATGTCATACTTCTATTTTTCTGGGCTTGAGACCGATAGTAGCCTAAGAGGGGCTCCAGGCGGAGTTAAATTCTAATCTTGAGTTTCCAAGCATTTACCCTGATCAGTATGTACGCAGGCACTTCTTGAGTTATGAACCATGTTTGACTCATAGCGATAAATTTTTCTTCGTGTCTGTATGCGACTTCATGGGGGACTAGTTAATCGGATCATTCTTATAGTACTGTCATCCTCATTTATCTAGTCTATTATAGTACATTGTGTTTGTTGTTTATTTTATAATTTCTTAGTCCAAATGTAAATGAAATTTTTTAAATTATTGTATGTACAAAATACTTCATTCTTCTACCTTTTGTTAGTGACGGTGTAATCTACATGTAAAAAGTAAAACACTTGAAATCTGTACAAGTTTCATGATGTTTAGATTGTATTCTTTATCTGCCAAATCGTAATCATTTGTATATTAGTGTTTTCCCTTTTTGGTTTCAAATAGTAGGCATCCTCAAATAAAATAACTAAGATCCAGCTGGGCGTCTTTAACATCTGCTGTGGCGCCTAAGTGCTCCTATACGGAGTTAGAGTTTCAACAAACAAACTATTAACGCTTTCTGTATAGAATTTTGAGTTCGTTCTCAATTTCATGAGTAGTAAAATTGCAGTACTTGTGAGGCTTTCGTCTCCACTCTCTCACCTGGTTGACTAAGCAAGTCACAAATGCTGATGATGAAAGTAGTAATAATTTGGAGATCGTTACGTTCCCGTGAAATGGTCTCGGACCACAATTGATTTGTAACTCAGTTAACTATGGATGAAAGAAAACTACTTAAATTAGTATCACAAAATATATCTCAGTAATATTTTCTACAGTGTTCGTCACTATCTCCTGGATTGTTAATTTTTCTTCGTTTTTATTACAGATTTGGGCATGTGGTTTTATGCCATCACAAGTGTTAAGACTTGATAAAAATCAACAGAATTATGCTCTGCAACATAATGGTATACCTTTGCTGTTGGATTATGCTATGCAAGAAGAGATGAATATGAATAATTGTACATTGGATTCGCGTATAATTATCTGTTCAACTCATTGGCTCGTTATTGTACCATGGTGGGCATGTTGGCCTTTTGAAACAATGATTTTGCCTCATAAACGTCATATTCTCTGGTTACACGAATTAACCGAAGATGAAAAATATGACCTCGCCTCCGTAATGCAGAATTTACTTGTTCGTTATGATAATCTATTTAACACACAATTCCCGTATTCTATGGGTTGGTATCAAGCACCTATGTGCTCCTCCAAAGAGGAGTCCGTGGAAGATCTAAAAAGTAAATATAAACATTGGCAGCTACATGCTTTGTATTTACCTCCCCTGTTACGATCATCTACAGTAAAAAAATTCATGTCTGGTTTCGAGTTATTAGCGGAAACCCAGCGAGATTTACTACCAGAAACAGCTGCAAATATGCTTCGTGAAACTAGTACAGTCCACTATACTAGGCGGACATTATAAACATGTTTCTGAGTCAGTAAATCACTTTCATGATTAAAGGGCTTTCATTTCGTTTTGCGATTTTTTAATGTTCATAATGACGGTACTTTTAATATTTTGAACAGATATATCTTGAGATGTTCCAAAAGAGTATTTGTTATTTTCTTAATAATTTCTTGATGCCTTATTAACTTTAAATATGATCTATTTTGAACAATAAGCTATTATGTTCCTTTCGAATTTCGTACATCAGTTTGACGAAATAATTAAAGGCATTACATGATGCACAAGTTTTTTACTTCAGTCCAATAATTCCAGTCGTTTTTTGAAGCTTTACTTGAATCAGCCCCCTCATTATCCAAATTCCGAATAACACGATTTTTTATTTGTTATGTTTTATGATGAACATAGTCATGCATAATTTTCGAACTTTGGATTGTAGCTAAATTATTTCTAAGAAAGCTTTTTTGTTTGACTAACGTTTTTAATCTTTAGAACCAATTCAAATTAATTTATACTGAACAGACAAGGACCACTATTCATCGTAATATGAGTGTGACTCAGTTTGTTGTACACGAATGTATGGGGATGATTTGTTATATTTTATAGTTGGCCAGTCAGTATGATTATCTGAAATGTTAAAATAGGCACTTATCGATAAATAAATGTTTCTTAAAACCCTTCGTATGGCGTTTGTGATCAGTTGTTACTGTCACTTTCCCAGTGAAAATAATTTCGAATAATTCCTTGATAATATAATTGTTAGATTCACCTGATGCAGTATCTTTGATGATTAACTTATTGTAACAGATCCTAGTTCCTCATACCCAATAATTGGTTAGTAGTATTCTCTTCCAATTTTTCATACTTAATATCCATTTATTATCACCCCCAAGCTTTTATTTGTGTCCTTCAGCATAAAAAATTCGGGCATTCAGTATTTCAAAAAATAGTATAAATTTATGGAGAAGTTCGTGGTTATGAGTTTGTCGAACTTTGATTATTCCTAAATCTTGGTGAAGAGGATGTGAAGTATCCTCGCAGTTACTGCTACATCTGCTTTCAGTGCCTGTGCTGAAATGTTGTCTGGTCCTGCTACTTTGCCGCTCTTGATTTGTCTGATGGACATGCTGATCTCCTCAATTCTTGGTGGGTCAACATCGATTGGGAGTTCCGTGGATGCTGCTTCAATATTGGGTGTGATCAGTGGGACTGGTCGATTCAAGAGTTCTTTGAAGTGTTATACCCATCTGTTTTGTTGTTCTTTATTGTTGGTGATTACTTTGCCTTCCGTGCTTTTCGCTGGTCGTTCTGGTTTACGATAACTTCCAACGAGTTTCTTTGTTGTGTCATACAATTGTCTCATGTTTCCTTCTCTTGCAGCCTTTTCCGCCGTCATTGCTAGATTTTCCACATATTTACATCTGTCGGTTCTGATGCTCCTCTCCACTTGCTTGTGTACTTCTGTGTATTCAGCTTGTGCCTTGGCTTTCTCTGCTCTTGTTCGGCTGGTATCGATTGCTGTCTTGTTTATCCTTTCTTGAATCATATCCAGTGTATCAAGAGTGATCCATTTTTTGTGATGGTACTTCTTTTGGCCCAGAACCTCATGACATGTTGAAGTATTTATTTATTATTTATTTATTTGAACACATAAATATTGGTACAGAGGGGCACCAAATATATATGCGCCACACAAAACAATGATAATTTGAAGAGAAGGAGAAAAGAGAAAAAAAAGTAATGAACGTGGGGAGTTATAAAAAAAAAAAGGGAGAGAGAGAGAACAATGGTGGGGGAAACGGAAAGGTACAATCAGAAGAGATCTTTCAGTTAAGGAAGATATAAACACTTTTTATGAAGAAAGTAAGAGGTTACAGCACGATCGCCACTGGCTTCTATTCTTAGCCATATCTGATAACGTCTCTAGCCACTGCGTTACACCGTCTCTAGGACCCCAACCAGGGAGTCGTGAAGGACCAACAGAAGCTAGCCCTTTGCAGCTTTCTTTCATACCACGACACCATGTCATATACTGACCACCTCTCCGCTTTTTCCAACCAGTCCCAGAGTCGGTAAATAATGCACGACGTGGAATTCTCTGGGACGACATTCGTAGAACATGTCCAAGCCACCGAAGTCGGTGTTTCAAGATGGTGACACCAATTTCATTATCGTCTCTGTGACCGAACACTCGATGCCGAACCTCTGCATTACTGACATGGTGTTGCCACTGGATGCCAGCAATCCTTCGGAGACAACGATGATCGAACACAGAGAGTAGTCTAACATCCTCAGCTCGGAGAGGCCAGGTTTCACAAGCATAGAGCAAAACTGCTCTCACCGTCGCGTTGTAGATCCGACCTTTTACAGCCAGACTAACATCACGAAGGCGCCAAAGATGGCCCAGATTGGCATAAGCCGCTCTGGCTTTCACTATACGTGCATTGATCTCATCACTCACACCACCACCAGCACTTATGCAGCTACCTAGATACACGAACTTCTCGACTACTTCAATCTGCTCACCATCCAGAGTGAGTACAGGATTAGAATCCTGTCAGTCTTGTAGAAGTACTTTGCACTTCGAAGGTGCAAAGCACATACCATACCTACGGACACTGATTGCCAACTGATTAAGTGCGGATTGCATGGCTTGGGCATTCTCGCACAGTAAGACAATATCATTCGCATACTCAAGGTCGAGAAGTCTTTTTCCAGGCAACAGATCCACACCACCATTACTTACATCCGTCAGAGCTGTTTCCAGAATGTCATCGATGGCAAAGTTGAAGAGGAATGGTGAGATTGGGCAACCCTGCCTAACCCCACTGCTCGAATGGAATAGTGGAGAAAGGTGGTTGTATGCCCTCACTCTGCCTGAGGTGTTTGTGTATAAAGCTTTTAGGATGTTAATAAACTTCTCAGGCACACCCTTCTTCAATAGACAATCCCAGAGAACAGTTCTGTCCAACGAATCGAAGGCAGCCCTGATATCAAGAAACACTACGATTGTTGGCCTTTGATAAGTATGGCGGTGTTCTAACACTTGGCGGAGGGTGAAGATATGATCAATACATCCTCGACCGGAACGAAACCCAGCCTGCTCCTCGCGAGTCAATCGTTCTCGGGTCCTGAACAACCTACGAAGTATGACGGAAGCCAATAGCTTGGACGCAATCGGAAGTAGACTTATACCCCGATAGTTGTTAGAGGAACAACGTGAACCCTTTTTAAAGATAGGGACAACTATCGACTCATTCCATGACGTTGGTACACTCTCTAGTTCCCAGACCTTTGTAAACAACGTCGTCAGTCCCTTAGTCAAAAAGTCACCACCATCTTTAAAAAGAGCCGGAGGTAAGTCGTCTGGGCCCGGTGATTTGTAACGTTTCAAGAGTTGGAGTTCTTTGCGGACTTCCGCCTCATTTGGTGGATCAGTCGTCACCGGCCATGTAGGGCAGGACAGTCTGACCGATGTTGCCGGAGCAGCAGGCCAGTTGAACTGCCCTTCAAAGAATTCTGCCCATCGTCCAAGACGTCGATGGATGTTAGTGATTGGCGTTCCGTCATCCTCGCAGATTGTTTCGCTCACACCAGACTTCTTGCTGCCAGTGGCTCGGATGAGTTGGAAGAGCTTCCGGTAATTTCCAGATGCAGCTGCTGCTTCCAACTCACTGGCACGCTCCGACCACCAGGCTTCTCGGTCCTTACGCAAGCTTTTCCCGATTTCATTACGTAACATCCTTCGTCTGTGGTCAAACTCACGGTCACCCGGAGTAGACCGACGGGCTTCAATCAGTTGTAAGGAACCAGAAGAAACCCAGTGCTTGTAAGCGGGACGTTTCGCAAACCCACAACAGACTGTACCCGCCATTTTCATGGCGTCATGCAATTGCAACCAATGCTCATCTATACTTTTCGGTGGAATGGTAGCTAGCCTAGAAGCTAGCTCGGTTCGGTACTTACTAGCAACAGAAGTTGCAGCCAGCTTGCTAACATCAATCCTTTGGTGGCGGTCACTTCGTTGTCCAGTTAGCTGATGGTAGAACTCGTCCTTGATTGCATCCGGGCTGCAATCGATCGGGGCATATGCGGAGATTTCGAAAAGACATCGTTTCTCACGCCGATTTCTTCTCTTTTTGATGGAACTTTCTAATCTAACAGCACATAACCGACTGTTAATGGGGATCCAGTCGACTAGTGCTGCCTCAGCTCTTGCGCTTAGTGTGACACATAACGCCAGCAAGACCAGACGAAGATGCCACAGGGTCCCCGGATAAACGCACATAAAACAAGCTTTTTGAAGTGACAGATGGAGAGCGAACTTGTAGTACTTCACCAGAGTCTTGAATACGGGTCTCGGATAGACAACACACATCAATATTAAGACTTTCCAAAGACATAGCCAGTCCTATCTGTTGTCCGACCTGCATAAGTGTGCGAACGTTGAGGGTAGCCAGTTTGAATGGTGCACGCGGTTTCAGAAAAACTGCTTCAGTACTCATATTCGGTAGTAACATACAATTTTCAACCAGGCAGTGACTCGGGAACGTTTAGATAAAGCTGAATTTTCACCATAGGCGAGCTGCTGTCTGAGTCGAAGCGGATATAAAAAGTAGAAATAGGAAATAGTGAATAAATGACGTAGTAAATAATAATAATAACAATAATAACAATAGTAATAATAATAATAATAATAGTACCAGTCATTTCAATGTTAGTCGGAGAGAAACGAATACTTTCTATAAGCATATAGTTCATCATAGTTTTAGTGAGTGGGCTGGGATACTGCCCGGGTGCCCAGACCGAAGCAGATGGTTTTCTTAGGGGGCCACACCCCGAGCCTTTGACCTAAAGGTCTAGTCCACAAGGCAGTGGAGCATCGTGAGGAGATGCAGTCCCATGGGAGCCGGTGACCAAAAGTTGGTTCATACGCCATTTGTTCCCGCAAGATACTGGAGCCCATGTGCACCATTGATTTGGGATCCGGTTATAGCGCCGGACATTCGCTTTTCGTCCTCTCATTTTCGTAAACAACACCCCCGCCACGAGAAGGCAGTGAGTAGGACTTCCCTGGCAGAGGCTGTATACGCGTGGCCGTGTGAGAGTATTTCGAGAGGGAGGGCGAACCCTCCCCGCTCTCGGCCATACCAGGGCATTTGGGGGCACATGTTGAAGTGATTGCCTCCTTTATCCCTTCCCAGTTGCTCTCCATAGTAGTTCCTTCTCCATTGAGTGGATTGTAAAAGGCCTGGAATTTATTGCTAAGGGCTATCTTGAATTCGTTGAGTTTGTGACTATCCTGAAGAAAGGCCGTATTAAGCTTTTGTGATGTTGTCCGCCCCGTTGTTCAGGGCTTCTTGAGTTTCAATTTAATCTTGGTGACCAGCAAGTGATGATCTGAAGCTATATCAGCTCCTCTCTTGCTTCCCACATCCTCCATTGTACTCCTGAACTTTTTGTTGACGCAGATATGGTCGGTTTGGTTCTGTGTAGTGTGATCCGGTGAAGTCCATGTGGCTTTGTGTATGCGTTTATGTGAGAATATAGTGCCGCCTATGACCAGTTTATTGAAGGCAAATAGGTTTGCAAATCTCTCACCATTTTCGTTTCGTTCTTCTAGTCCATGTCGTCCCATGATGTCATTATATCCGGTGTTGTCGATTCCAACCTTAACATTTAGGTCTCCTATCAGAATGGTCAAGTCCATTGTTGGGCACTTCTCGACTATTGACTGCAGCCTATCGTAGAATTGGTCTTTAACGTCTTCATTGTAGCCGTTGGTAGGCGCATAGCATTAGATGACGTTCATTGAAATGCCCTCTTTGTTTGTTTTGAAGGAGGCTTTGATAACCCTTGGTCCATGAGATCCCC